ACGTAATGAAGGAATAATACATCCGCGAAAGATGTCCTTGTGGGCTTGGCCTGTAAACTGCTGGTGTTTTCTTTTACCAACACTGCGGCTTCTTGTAATGGCAGTTGTTGGAGTATTCATTCGAATATTTGGTAACTTTTATCACGAGTGGTTGATGATATCGTACGCCACGTAGGAAAGTGACAATTGAAAAATGGGCAATTTACATGTCAATTAAATGCCGGCATCTTGTCTTTACGTTCTGTAGTATTATATTGAACTCCCTGGAATGCAATTGAACAAGTAGTAAATAAATAATAAAAATTGGGCAATTTTGAGTAACTACCACCCTTGAACAAAACAAATTTCAATCAACAATATGCGATTAGTAATATTAATTGAACAAGATAGTTACGTAGGAAACATTGCACAACACAGCAATAGATTAGTACGTTGATAATTTCATGAAGGTTCTAGTTTTGAGTAGAAATAAAAATAACGCCATTTTTTTTTGTATCACTATTCTACGTCATGTGCGATATGATAGGTATTGTCTGAGGACGGATAATACGTAGAGAGAAAAATCGTAAACTACTTCTATATACAAGGAGGTGGGCACGTGGTCTCTAAAACCTTCGGATAAGCCACTGACATCTACTGTCTGCGACATTTGTTTGGCGGTCACAATAGAACTAGTGGTGTTACAGAATGGCAAAGACTTTCTCATATTAGTTTTCTATTCCCTTTGGTCTCGCTTAGATATTCTGACTTGCCCCACACTCATGCCAGCTGTCATTATTTTTACATTTTCACACTTTTTGGTTTCCTAATAGTAGAACGGAAATATAAAACATTATAAAAACATAAAAACTCAACCTAAATGGCAATTTGTGAGTTTTAAACGAAATGGCATTTAAGCGCTACTAAAATTTTGTAATTTAAAGCTCTTTTTTACAGACAATTTTTTTAGTTTTTGAAAATCTTCATTAGAAGTCATTTGAAGCACATCTACTCACAAATACAATATTGTTTTACAATTTGCTGGAAATGTGCATATTAACGCCGTGAGAGACCTTTCAAAAAAGTATCTTTGTGTAATATTTGTATACATTTGTGTAATTTTTTAAAACCGAAAGAATACAGCAAAATGGATTTTATGACATCATAAAAAGTTTAATTTGCACTATCCATACGAAAATTTGAATAAAACATTTGGAGCGATTTTTAGAAATTTGCACTTGAGCGTTTCTGAAAATACGGAATTTTGAACTAGTTGTTACAGAAAACTGTTGACATTTTGAGAAACTATATATGATCTTATTTAAAGCACATATACTCATAAATGAAATAGCGTGGATAAATTGTCACTTATGTAAATATTAACGACTAGCTGAACCGGCAGACTTCGTACTGCCTCAACGATAAATAAAAGACCTAAACGTTTGTAAAAAATTATTTTAAAACAAACAAATCGAATTCGTATTTAATAAAAAAGCATTTTTTGAATAAACCATGAAATTTTATTATAATTTTCGACACATCATGTTGCTTACTTACAAAACAGAGTTTTTCTGAAATACTGGCTATTTATAAGGT